CTGAATTATGCCTCACTGGATCTGAAGCTGGCAAAGAAACGCAAGAAGGAGCGCCATCTGCAAGGCCAGGCACAGGCCAAGCATCAGAATCAGCTGCTGGACACGGTGACACCGTCAGAAAACACTTTCTCTGAGGTAGACACAGAAGTAGACGCTCTTCTTCCTCCCAGAGACAGCAGCGCCATGGTTTCCCACAGCAGCATCTATCTGAACAGTCAGCAGATAGCCCACGAGGTTAAAGAAATGGAGCGCGAGTGGAGCGTAAGCACAGAAAAAGAGAGGCCAGGCTGGGATGGCTTGCCAGAATGTGAAGAAGGGGGAAGCAGAGAGTGTGACGGAGATCAAGAATGTGAGGAGAGACAAGATAACGACAAAAATGCCATCAATGGGAACGTATGTGAGCATCATTTAGATGTAGAAAACACGACATCACAGATCTGTTTTAGTGGCGATTGTGACTAATATATTAACACTGTGTCAAACTTTTTCTAGCAGAATTTAACCCAAAAAATGCAAACTGCTGTGTGTCAAAAAAATACACGTGAAATAATAACTTATATTCTGTATTCTTTAGGCTGTGCAGAGTTGAGCAATTTCCTCTTTGATGCAAACTTTCTCCTAGAGATTGAGCAAAAGAACCAAGTGTGCCCTTGTATGCAGAGCTAATCAAAGTGCATGGAAAAGAACGTGTGTGTGACATTTAGAGGTCAAGAGCCACGTGGAACTTCTACAATTTATTGTGAAACGAAGGGAAAGCGTCAGTTTCTCAAAGGACACAGTGCAACTTTAACTCTTTTGATGTCTTATCATCATTCATCAGCAGATGTCTCACAAAATGACGTGAAGGAGAAAAAAAATGTTTCCACATTGTCCGTTTGAATATTTTAACATAAGTGTTGCCCCACAAAATGCTGAAATTGCTTGAATAAAACCCAAATTAAGTTAAAGGCTGTTCTTGAATCCTTTTTTTTTTTCCTCACTCACTCTCGAGCAAGACGGATGCTTTTTCTTCCCTCTCCTGGTTCCCTCCTGCGTTTTTGCTCTGTGTCCTGTGTATCGGAGCTTCTATTTATCTTCCGAATCGTAAATCACTGTCATGGATCTGGTCAGCTGGACTTTTAACACAATTGATGGAGATGTGAAAGATCACAGATGTTTTTCACTTAATGTCAAATGTATATGAACCATGTGTGGTGTTAGAGAGATTTGTCTGGACAAAGTGCTGCAGAAGCATGGAGCCTTTCACCTGATAAACTCAAGGACCGAAGCAAAGAGGCTGCAAGAGTTGTCTGGCCTCGAGTCTGACTGATAACATTATAAAAATACACTTTTTTATGCTCTTTGAACAAACTTGGAGATGAAGAGCCATGTAAATATCTTGCCTGTTTGTATTTCAACTCTGTTCCATCTTGCTTTTTTAAACTGGGATAAGAAAATTATCTACTCGTTCCTGTGTGGTATATTTATTTAATCAGCTCAAGGGATAATATTAAATTATCCTAGCAGCAATTGATTAAAAAAATAATAATTTCAACCAAGTGACGGGGTCCGTTGGAGCTCTCAGACTCAGCTGATTTAGGAGCTCAGCCATAAGACGGAAGCGATTTATAAGAATTGTAGGCCACTTGCAGCTTCTGGGACTCGCCAGCATGTTGGGGTTGACCTTGGAGGAAGCTAATGAGCACGGACCAGCGGAAAGACCACAAATCTGGACATTTTGGATAACGAAAGTGCCAGCAGAACTCAAGGCTGAAGAGAAATAACAGTCTGCCTGGGAAAAAAATCAAGAACTGTGACTTATCTGAATCTGACTTCCTCATTCGGCCTTGAAGCAGGCCGACTTGCCAAATTTCTCCTGGCCTGTGTGTAAGCTAAGAAGGCTCTGTTCTATCTCCGCCCATCTTTCGGACGACTGTACGGAATATAATCTCGCTGTACTTTGGTGCAATGATAATAAAGCTTATTCTGATTCTGATTCCTTGGTTCATCAGCTTTGTCTCTGTGTAAAGGTAACGCTCTGAGTTTTTGTCATAATTATTGTAACTGTAATTGTAACTGTATGTAGTTATTGAAGTTGAAACACAAATATCATAGATTTATTTCTCATTTGAATTTATTTATTTATGTTATATGGAGGGATGGGCTGGAAAAGTATGAGGCTGCAGCATCAAGTCTTATCTATTACCAGTTCAAATTCTGTAACAATGACTCCAAAAATAATTATTCTGGACATATTTTTTATGAGAGTCCATCCATGCATATTTCAAAGTGTCCAAATGGAGTCCAACGTGTCCACACAATTGAACACCAACATCATGAAGCTGTAACTCCTGCATCAGTGAGGGCTCTGATGAAAGTTAGAACTGCAGGAATCATATTACTTTTTCTTAAACTGTTTACATTTAAACAATATATAAAAAAAACAGCAGCAGTTTATAAAAGGTTTTCACTTAATTTTGAAGTGTTCTGCTATATGACCCAATTTATAATCCATCAATATAATCAATCAAATGAGGTGTGACTCAAAAGACGAGGGTCTACACCACCATTTTGACACTGTAGTATTTAAATTGGAAGTGCCTGGTAAAGCGTAGCAGCTGTTTAAAGCAGAATGAAAGACATCAGGATAGCCCGCGATCGGGTCGTTCTTTCCCCTAAAATCCTATCCAAAATGTGGATGACATTAGCATAAGTCAATAAAATATAAACTGGCTCTAAACGAGACATAGCATGCTATTTTGTTTCCCCCCATGTGGGGAAGAATAGCAAACACCTGGGGTTGAGAGTGGACAAGGCAGGAGCAGAAAACTGACTGGTACAGAACTCAGTCACATTTCTTTTTTAAATGGCTACCAACATCTTTCATGAAGTGACTTGGTAATGGGACGAAATTCTTTAACAAACACAAAATCATTTCGCTAAAAATATATGTCTTCTAGAATAATTAATGTCTATTATTTAACAAGATGCTAAAATAGTAATATAATTATGTGGTATACATGTTGTACAGTTTTGTTTGAGGTGATCACGACAATAGGTGGAATGATGTAACCACTTGCTTTCTCCTTGCAGCTATGGCTGTTGTGTGTAAAGCTGCAGCTGTACAGTCAGTTCATGTCGCCTGCAGAAATGATTTATATCAAAGTAGCAGGTGTTACTTTAAGATATAAATGATTTCTCTCTTAAAGTAACAGATGTTCTGTCTCATTTTGAACTAGCTAGTCTGCAGAGTTAGCAAGAAATGAGGAAAGAGAGTGAGAATGAATAGAATATATTAGAAATTACCAACTTGACATGGAATAAGAGACCATTTCATTTTAGTTGGTGTTTCAATCCCCACAGGATGTCTCTCAGTATATGATGATACAAGCAGATTATATGTAAAAGACTCAACATAAAGCTAATAAAAACAGGCCTCTGGATTTGGTCGTAGGGAAACTGACTGCATTTATTTTTCTTTTGCCTCAGTCTGAAAGTAGCACAGTTCTGGTCATGTTAACCATGTTAAAAGGGTTATTACAGTTGAGGTTACATTCATGCAGTATATAATCTATAACAATTCACACATTTTCACTTGGTAATCTTTCACAGACTTCAAAGAGGTTTTTTTTTTTTTTTACACACACTCAAACATTGGTCAATGGATTGAGAACAGTGTTAAGTTCAGTATCCTGCTCCAACGCACTTTAGCACATTGAATCCAGAGTAGTGGGACAATGACTTCTTTTATTTCTATAACAAATACTATTTTTGAAGTTGCGCATCTAAAAACCTAAAAATAAAAATAAAAATCTGGTATTTTGCTTTCCCTCAGGTATTGCTTGCCTTTCCAGAAATATTCTCATCATTGGTGACACCTAAAATCACTTGATATGATCACACAACATAACTATAATTATTAAATATAGTGAATTACTTAGAGTATAAAAGATTTACAAAAAGTTAAATAAATGGAACACGAGGAATTAGGAGAAGACATAGCTGACTGGTGAAATCCAGTCAGATGCAAAAAAATGTACAGTATTATCATTTCTAAAAGTCTTTATTTCTTCCCAACCAGACAAAACCTAGGTGCTCAAAGTAAACCCAGCTCAAACAGTAAAACACTTAACAGACTGTTACAGTGTCAATGCAAACATTCAAATATTTAAAGCATTTTAGGGCGGCCATAACGCTCTTTCACAAGATTAATGGCTACAAACAAAATTTGTGTAAATTATGTAATGAAGCATAACATTGTTATTGTAATTTTTATGCATTAATTACGGAAGGTTCCATCCATCCATTCTCTTTTACCTGCTTCTTCCATTTTGGGTCACAGGTCGCCAGTGCCCATGTCCAGCAATCACTGTGCGAGGGGGGGGTACACACTGGCGGGGTCACAAGTCCATCACAGGGCCACATAGAGACAAACAACCATTCACTCTCTCACTCACACCTTGGGACAATTTAGAGTTACCAATCAGCCTAACATGCATGTTTTTGGTCTGTGTGAGAAAGCCGGAGTACCCGGAGAAAACCCACGCATGCACGGAGAGAACATGCAAACTCCACCCAGAAGGCCCCGGGACCAGGATTTGACCCAGGCACCTGCTCGAGGGGCAGCGGCTCTGCCGGTTGCGCCACCGTGGTGCCCCTTATGGAAGGTTACATCATAGAATTGTAAATTTTTCTATATCTTTGGAGTAAATAAATTATAACATTTCTACACCAATGAAATGTAAAAAAAATTAAAAAATAAACATAAAAGTAGGTTTCGTTTCAACAAGTGATTTAAGGCTGTTCTAATTATCTGCACGTTTTTTTAAGACTACTGTATTGCGGGAGATTAAAATATGGATTCATATCTAATTCATTTTATAGGTTGCATAAAAATATGTTAAATGGAACTTAAGCAGTTGTGTGCTTTTTATAGTTGTAGTTGTGGTTCGTACAGACACCGTACAAATCGAACCCAACTTTCTGTCAACCTAACAGACGAGTAAGACCTCTTCACACGCAGAGACGATCTTCGTTGCTAACATGGCGGCGCGCTTGTGAATGTCATGCTACACCCATTCACATTTTCATTTCTCGGTGAAATTGTGGAGCAATTAAAGCTGGCCTTTTAGCGTTATCTTGTGGATTTATTTCTCGTTCCACCTAAAAAGCTTATGAACTGGTAAAACGTAGATTTACTGTATTCTGAAGGTGATTGATCTCATGTTAACCGATTAGCTAAACGCTAAGGCATCATTTCTGACAGAGTAAAGATGGATCCCAACCAACAGCTGAGAAACGTAAGTCACAATGCCAGTCACATTTTGTCTCATCTGTAAATACATAGTTGTGTAGTGATTTAAAAGGAGTATACGTGTTGTTGCAGCTGAAGGATTTCCTCCTGGTTTACAACCGCATGACTGAAATCTGCTTCCAGCGATGCACGAACAACTTCAACTTCAGAAACCTCACGATGGACGAGGTGAATGCACCTTCATAAATCTCTAACTGATGATTCTGCTCGGCATTTAATTGGTACCATCATGTGGTCTGAACACAACTACTGTACCTCCTTTAATATGCACGATTTATGCTGTTTGTAGCTTCGATTATTTTTATTCCAATCCTGAAAAAGTTGACACTGAAAATCGTAAATGATAAAAAGAAATGCAGTGGTTTGCAAATCTCATGAAACCAAATCACATAATAACATCCATCCATTATCTTTACCAGCTTCTTCCTCTCATTTAAAATTAACAAAGTGTACTTTTTAAAGGGAAATGGAATTTTGGATTTTTTTGGCAGCAACATCTTAAAGACAGTCCAGGTTCATGTTTGCCACTGTCGAGCATCTCTGCTGTAAACATCTGGGACAGAGCTCTCAGACTGCATGTGGCCTTTAAGTTCCTCATCTGCAGCTTTTTGAAGCTTTGACCAAAATATTCATGAAATTTAATTTTATAGGTTTTTATACCCACAACAGAAAAGGCTAGATTTATAATTTTTTTTTGTAAATTTTCTGCAATTTTTTTTTTGTTTGTTGTTGGTTGTTTGTTTCATAATGTGCCAACTATTTTCTATTGTGAGAGGTCTGGACTTCAAACAGGCCAGTTCAGCATGTGGACTCTTCTACTTTGAAGCCATACCATATGCACTAATGCATCCCCATACCATCAGAGAGGTTGACTTTTGAATTGTATATATAGTTTAAGCATGTGATTTGTTTACTATGGTCCATTGTTAATAACAAATGTGTTTATGAGACTGATTCAAATAATTGCATTGATTTTTTTTTTATTTACATTTTACACCAGGACATACTGAAGTGGGTCATGCAAACTAATGTTGATTCCTGTTGTGTGTCCAGGAGAGCTGTCTGGACAGCTGTGCAGGGAAGCTGATTCGCTCTAACCACCGTTTGATGGGCACCTATGTGCAGCTGATGCCTCGGATGGTGCAGCGCCGAATGGAGGAGATGGAGAGCAAGGCGGCAGAGGCCGCAAAGGCAGCAGCAGCAGCAATGCCTGCAGCTGTCGAGACTGGGAACACAGAAGCTACACCAGCATTTCAAACGCCTTTAAATTCACCCCCATTGCCTAATTTACCTTCCTCTGGGACTGGTGGCATACCAGAGGTCCAAAGCTCAGACTTTAAGTCAGCAGGACTAGACATTCTGGCTGACCCTTCAGTCATGGGAGCCACAGTGTCATCTTCCAAACTGCTCACACCTAAGACTGAAGCTGTGCTGAACGATGTTTCACTTCCAGCAGGATCACCTAACACAGCTGAGCCTAGCAGCCCCAGACCAACAGCTCCTACAGAGTCTTAAACATGAACAGGCCTGGGAGGCAAATGGAGCCCAGATGTTTTCTTGTTGTGATCTTCTAACGATGGAAGTCTGAGATCAAACTGATATCAGCTCTTGTTTCCCACCACAAATAGCACATATCAGTAATTTAACACTGGTTGGTTATGTATGATTTACAATATTGATAATTATAACAACTATAAGGTAAGCTAACCAGTTTTGGCTGTTGTCATTCAGACTTGGACTTGTTGTTATTTTACCCCCATTAAAATTCTTAAAGTCAAACAAGGTAATTTTATAACCCTCAGTCTGTTTTTTGTCAGATTTTATTCATGGCGTTCTCTCTTTATAGAAATTTGTGGACTTTTTAAGCACTGATTAAATTAATGATATGCACATGTCAAAGTCAAGGATTTGGCCCTCGTTAACATCGTATCTGGCCCCCTAAGATATTTTAAACGTAAAATATTTTTTAGCGTTTCTCACTTTGCTTAAAAAAACTACAAAATACTTAATTTAATGCAAATATCTCAGGACAGTTAACTTTGAAGCCAGAAAAAAGGTTGGATTTTTTCAGTCATTTTTCATTTTGATATGGAAAGAGCAAAAGAAAACATCAAATGGGAACAATTAAACGCTTCTTGATGAACCTGCAACCAAGCAAAGATGTCGGCTGTCTGACTGGAGTTAATGTGTCGACTGAAATTGTCCCATTAAAATTGGCTTAGACCAAGTTTTTAATTTTTGCTCCCTTTTGTAGTTTGACTCCCCTGTTTAGGGAACTGAATTGCTGCTTTACTGTAATTCAGTAGTTCTGTGCAGTAGTCTACAACAATTTAAAGTTGCCTATAATTTATGTCAAACAAATTTTCTTGTAACCTTTTAAACCAATCAATAGATTTTTTTGTATGTTTTTTTTTAGTTTTCCTTGGAATTTTGCTGCTTTCTCACTCATTTTCAGTCGACTTCTTGGACTCGACCATCGTGCAGTGTGTGCTTTCAAAAGGAGACATGTGGACACGTGTTGTGGAGGACAAAAGAAGAGGTGGCAGACCTGCAATAAAATCTAGTAAATGTAACATTTCTCAATATTATGTTTTAAGAAACAGGAATAAAATCAAATCCAACGAGGACTGAAAGCAGCACATGGGAGAAGTATTCAGCTGATCCTTACTGCATGTAAAGTTTTGGACTAACTGCTCTTTTGGGAATCGTTTTTTGGTGCTCAGATATTTTATGTTGGTATTTTTCATAGATTCAGCTAAAGAAAGCTGAGCATGTAACTTTAGGACAGGCTGCTGATAAATTATCAAAAAATAATTTATAATTATATGTTGAACCAACACTGGTACATCTTTTGAGTTTAGAAGCCTTTTTATAATTCTATCAGAGTTCTGTGGATTAAACAAAAACTTTTCTCAGAAGATGACCAGATTCTGGACTGAAAAGTGAGTCACAAAGTATCCAAAGTCAAAATCATTGAAAGACTGAAGAAATATTTCTCAAAACATTTTTTTAAATAAGTGCTTGGAATTGAAATTAGAGAAATAAAAGATGGCTCAAGACTTTTGCACAGCATTGTTTGATAAAAACGGAGCCCTGAGGATAAAATGCTGAGTGATTATATTGTATCAATATATAAAAATGCATCCATCCATTATCTGCTTGTTCCGGTGTCAGGTCATGAAGGCAGCTTGAGCAGGGAGGTCCAGATGTTTAGTTTACAGATGTGAGATAAAGGTTTTCTGTGGTAGAAGCCGAAAGTCATTCACAACGCACGCCGAGCGAGACGTCTTGTGAGACTGTGCTATTTTTAAGGTTTGATCAAAATGGCTGCACCTCTATTTTTCAGTATAAGAACATCTTGGTCTAAAACTCTTGCTAGAAAAGCGGCAGGTAAATGTGATAAGAAATCAATGTTTTGTTTTATTACCAAAAAAAAAAAGCTGTGATGGAACCACTCAGAGGGCAGCACGGTGGCGCAACTGGTAGAGCTGCTGCCTCTCAGCGAGCAGGTCCTTGGTTGAAACCCCGGTCCAGGGGCCTTTCTGGGTGGAGTTTGCATGTTCTCTCCGTGCATGCGTGGGTTTTCTCCGGGTACTCCAGTTTCCTCCCACAGTCCAAAAACATGCATGTTAGGCTGAATGGTAACTCTAAATTGTCCCTAGGTGTGAGTGAGAGAGTGAATGGTTGTTTGTCTCGTTTGTCTTTATGTGTCCCTGTGATGGACTTGCGACCCGTCCAGGGTGTACCCTGCCCCTCGCACAGTGATTGCTGGACATGGGCACCAGCGACCCCCGTGACCCAAAATGGAATAAACGGGTAAAGATAATGGATGGATGGATGGAACCACTCAGAGCTGCACAAGAACCAGTCACAAGTTATAAAAATCTTTCAGATGGTGCTATTTGAATGGCTGGGATAGTGAAGTTCTGACAAATGTGCTTTGATGATTTAAAATTAAGTTAAATGTTGGTCAATTTAAACGAATCACACGTCTGTATGCGGATAAGATGAGGAGTAAATCACGAGGTTTGAATGTTTGTTTTCACACTTTCAGCTTTACGGGAGTGAACGAAGTTCATGACCTCAGATCTTTTTGTTTCCAGATCCTCCTTTCCTGTCTTTGCAGTCTCACCATCAAGTGCAGCTTTACTTACGCTCAACATCTCTGAGAAACCACCAAACCACTCTATGCCTCACCCTTAAATGTACATTTTAATAAAATTCAACAGAGACGGGTTACAGCTGCTGAACAAAATAGTGATTTTAATCAATACAGGTCGGTTCAAACACTTTGTTCTGGTTCTATAGCTTTGTAAAGAGATGTATCTGTCATGTTATACATGATACTTTACTGATTTAGCTTTGCTTTAAAGGGGTTTATTAAAGAGATGCATACTGAGCCTCCTGTCTTCTTTAAACACCCACAACAGATGAACACAACAAGCAATATTTTTGAAGTTTCATTTGTTATATTTGAGGTGGCATAGGTAGGAAGGAGACTGTAGAAGCAATTTACTTATTTTTGCCCTGTGTTAAAAACAACCTCAAGTCCAGGGGCTTTTATGGGTGGAGTTTGCATGCGTGGGTTTTCTCCAGGTACTCCAGTTTCCTCCCACAGACCAATAACATGCATGTTAGGCTGATTGGTAACTCTAAATTGTCCCTAGGTGTGAGTGAGAGAGTGAATGGTTGTTTGTCTCTATGTGTCCCTGTGATGGACTGGAGACATATCCATGGTGTACCCGCCTCTCGCACAGTGACTGCTGGACATGGGTACCGGTGATCCCCGTGACCTAAAAATGAAGAAATGGGTAATGGATGAATGGATAGTTGCTGTCTTGTGCTTTAATTTTTTTTTTAATATATCACATAGATCATTTGACAATTTCAACAACAAGAAAAAAAAATTCTGATCCTGAAAATTAGAGTTGGGAATACAGTAAATAAGTGTCATGGGTATAGGACAATAGGACAATATAATTATATATTTTTTACCTTTTTCAGCCTGAATGTATAACAGGGTTATTATTACCCATGAAATATTTGTATTATCTAGCCTTTATGATATAGACTGTGTCATCTTTCTTTTAAGTACATTGTATTTTGTTGTAAATGTTAAGGATATGTGATACTCGTGAACCCAAAAGTTTGGGGATTTCTTGCAGATATGTTCTATTTAGTGAACGTGTGTGTGGAAATTACAGAGGCATCTCTCTGTCGAGTGTTATCGGGAAACTGTTAGCAGATGTCATCTTGCAAAGGTTACATGTGTTGGCAGAATCTATATATCCCCATTCACAGTCTGGCTATCGAAATGGCCGAAGCACTATTGATGGCGTCTTTACAGTTCGACAGCTAATGGAAAAAACATGAGAGCAACTATCAAGCTTTCATGGACTTCATTAAGGCTTTTGACCTTGTGAATCGTGAACTGGTTTTCATAGTTCTAAACCAGCTTGGCTGTCCATGGAAGTGTATAAGGATTATTAAAATGTTCTACTCAGATGGACATGCCAGACTCATCGTAGATGGAGAGCTAACTCAGTCATTTCAATACTATAGTGGTGTTCAGCAAGGCTGGAAAATAGCACCAACATTCAGTAATGGTCAATCAGGTCATCTGGACTGTTTCTCTTTTGTGGAAGACGTTTCACCCTCTATCCGGAGGGCTTCATCAGTCTGAGGAGTCCCAAGTAAACTGTTTACCCTACTAAACAGTCCACTCCTTTAGTGGACCAACCAGTTTGCTGGTGTGATAAGATTATTTCTGGGGGCTGTCCTGTCCCCCGTTGACTCCTCCCAGGCAGACAGCCACAGCCAAAGTGGTTCAAAACATCAAAGTTCATGCTCAATCATACATGTACAAAATCTAATAATGGATCCATTATTGGATTTTGTACATGTATGATTGAGCATGAACTTTGATAGCACCAACATTGTTTGGCCTTTATGCAGCATTTTTTACTTTGGCTTGCTTTCAGAGATTTAATTCATACATGCAAGCCTACAGATTTGGTTCTGTTATGATGGGGATCTGTTTAATCTACAGACTCAAAGCAAAGACCAAAATTCTTAGAGAATTTGTTAGGGAAGCTCAGTTTGCTGATGACATTTGAATCTTTAATGATACATCAGTTGGCATACGTTATTAAATGTAGCAAACCCCTCAAAAGAATGGGCCTGCATGTCATCACCACCAAAGCTTAGACTACATGCATAGGCACTATAGAAGTTCTTCATTGATAAAATAAAATAATCAAATGTCACTCATTTTAAATATCTTGGTAGCTTTGTTACCAGTGACTGTTCAATGAAAGTGGAACTTGTTTCTCATATTCCTGCAATGCTGTAATTTTGGACGACTGTGAAAAATAGTTTTAACTCACAAAACCTCACCAAGGTCAAAGTTTATAGTCAGTGTTTTATGCTGTTGTTACTCTATATAAGTGAAGCATGAACCCTATACCAGCATAAAATCAGTACTGTCCAACAACGTTGCCTTTGTCTGATTATGAATATTAAATGGGACGAGGTTTTAGAATGAGGATGTCTTGATACGTGTAGGTGTCGAAGACATTGAACAGAGACAGATTGGAAACCGGTTGCGCTAGCTTGGTCATGTTTGTAGACTGGACGAAGACAGTATGGGGGCCCTAAGGTGTAAATGAACAACATTTGAAAAAACAGAATTACATTTGAAAAAACACAACAAAAACAACAAAATCACAACAACATTTGAAAAAACGGAATGACA